AAGCCCCTGTGTCCAACCTGGCCTTGAACACTGCCAGGGATGGGGCAGCCACAGCTCCTCTGGGCACCCTGTGCCAGCGCCTCAGCACCCTCACAGGGAAGAGCTGCTGCCTTATCTCCAACCTGAACTTCCCCTGTTTCAGTTTGAACCCATCACCCCTTGTCTTGTCGCTCCAGACCCTGATGAAGGTCCCTCCCCAGCATCCTTGTAGCCCCCTTCAGACCCTGGAAGCTGCGCTGGGGTCTCCAGCAGCTTCTCTTCTCCAGCCTCAGTGTTCTCAGCCTGGCTCCATACAGGAGCTGCTCCAGCCCCTGCTCGTCCCCGTGGCCTCCTCTGGACCCCCAGGGCCACCAGGAACCCCTGCACTGGAGGCCTCATGCACACGGTGGTTGCACAGTTCCAGGGGTGCGGATCCCATCTCTGCCCTGGGCAGCCTGTTCCAATGCATGAGCACCCTCTGGGCAAGGAATTGTTCCTCAGCTCCATTTAAACCTACCCTGGTGCAGCTTGAGGCTGGTTCCTCTTGTCCCATTTCTTGGGAGCAGAGACCAGCCCCCTCCTGGCTCCAGGCTCCTTTGAGGATCCTCGAGGTCCATTCCAGCCTGGATCCTGGGATTCCTTTCTGGGAGTTGCAGAGCAGTAAGGTCCCCCTGAGCCCATTCCTCATGGGATTCGTCCTCCAGGCCCTTCTCCACCTCCATTGTCCCACTATGTCCTCAAGGGCATGGAACTAAGACCAGATTCCCTCACAAGTGGGATTATCCCATCCCTCATCCCACTGGCCACACTATTCCTAGTCCAGGCCAGGATGCCCTTGGATACCTGGGCACAAGCTGGATCATGTCCCAGCCTCATTCCACACTCCCAACTGTTTCCCAAAGCCTGGAGCGTTGCCTGGGATCCCAGAGCAGCAGATGGGGGGCTCTGAGCACCAGGGGGAATTTGGGCACAGATCAGGATTGGATCCAGTATCCTTTGGGGAGAGCGGGGCACCCACCCCCCCAGGCCTCATTTCCAATGGGAAAGCTTCTCCTGGTGGTTCTATCCAGGATCAATGCCATCTATCCATGAGTTTCCCCTTGGCAAACGCAGCTTGAGCCATGCCAAAGGGCTGATGGGATTTATGGATTCTTGCCTATGGACAGTTTGGGAAGGCTGAGGGGGAGTCAGGGATGTTTGGAGCTGGCAGGGACTGCTCCAGGGGTTGTGATTCCCATGGGAAGTGGATGGAGATGGGAGAAGCCAACCAGAGCTGGTGATGAGCGGATCCAGTGCCATTCCCAGTGGCTTTACTGGAGCAGGGTGACAGCTCCGAGCAGATCCCATTGGGATCAACAGTGGGAAGGTGATGGGAAGGGGGAATGGGGCTGGGAACACATCGGGATTGGGCTCAGCTCTTTGCTCCATCCCTCCCAGAGGATGTCGGGATGGAGATGTGAGAATTGTCAGGGATGGGGGGCGGGATGGCTCCATGTTATCCCACCTGGGGGGTGAGAAGCAGGATGAGCACCCAGCGCCGTGCTCAATCCCACCTGGATCCATCGTGTTCCCCACAATCCACCTGGAAAAGGGGGTTGGTGCTGGGTGCAGCAATTCCTTCCACAGGGAACACCGTGGGATGTGGGATGGCTTCAGCCTCCCCCCCATGCCCTGGAGCCAGGGGCTGCTGCTGACCCTCCAGCCGGGAGTGGGGCCTGGGGCTGGATCTGGCTCTGATCCCATTGGGAATGGGAGATAAATTGGGATGAGGGGCCAGTGGTGGCGGGTTGGTCCTTCCTCACATGGCGAAGGCAGGATGGTCTTCAGGGATGCTCACTGCTCCTCCTTCCTCCTCGTCCTTCTCTCCTCTTCCTTCCTCCCTCCTTCTTGTCCTTCCTT